CTGCTAACTCTGGAGATTCCAGTGCTACAAAGGTGATTAAAATATTTCTGGTCTCTAAGTCTCTTAATCCTCTTAAAAAGTGCATATGAACATTGTAAATCATTTTGTGTAATACAGTTGAACTTCTTTTGATGGCCACCTCTCAACTTCCTACAATGTTTAATAATTTGTTTTTCTCCCAGTTAATAGTCTTAAAAAAATTAATGCACTCCTTTAGAATAACCAGCTCTCTACAACGGCAATTGCTGATGCAATAGGCTACTTTCGATATATCAAAATTCAGCATGATGACGAGTGTTAGAGGACAAACAAAGAAAATGAATAAACATGTTTATTCATTTTCTTTGTGTGTTTGTTCATTTTTTTTTTTTGTTTGTGTCTTCTAAGACTCGTTATCATGCTGAATTTTAATATACCAAAAGTGGCCTATTGCATCCCAACTGCCAAAGCAACCTGTCTACAATGGACATATTCACTGTACATTACTTACCTTCTTTAGTTAACATTTCTATTGAATCTTTGGTTTATATTGTATTGCTATATTTCAAATGTGGTACACCATAATATTATTAAAATAATAAGCATGTTTTATACAGTGGAAGCTCTCGTGAAAAAAAGTGTCATAACTGGAGCTGGCTGCTTACAAGAATATTATTGTTCTGTTCCACTAGTAGAGTAACAGATCATAATTATATTTTTATTAACATTATACTTGCACATCATTGTTGAGAACACATGTATATTTCTTTAGAAAGCAAAACAAATGTTGAAGAAGGCAGTGGAGAAGATGTGATTGAGGTAATGAATTTTCATTCCACTTGTAGTTATGAAACCTGTTTTTCAGGACTGTGCTCCAGTGGTCTGTAGCAATAATTTTTTTTGTGCCCTTTGACAACCAGACGATCTTAGCCCTTGAACAAAACAAATAAGCTGGGCACTCTGCATTTCAAAGGTCTAGAGATTTTTCGTCTTCAAGCCATTTTATTAGAGCACAGCACTGGTTGTCTGTTCTTCCTTCAAAGTTTGCAGTGATTCTAAATGGGTACTTCTTTTATTTTACAGAGAGCTGAAGTATCTACTTTGGAAGAAGGAAAAGATGAAGACTCAGAGTCTGACCAAGAGGTAAATTTCCTTTCATCTTGCAGCAGAGGAACTTACTGGTCAATGCTGTATTATACTAATTTCTAATCCAGTAGCCTACATGTAGTAATATGTCTTGCAATGTCATGCTATGTCATTAGAATTCTGATGCATGTGAGGTCTGGTTTAAACATGTTGTACTATACATGTGCCAAATCTAATGCAGATAACCCGGAGATAAACACAGTTCTTCAATTAGCACTGAGAGGTAATGAAATACATCGCCTACTTTTTTCCTAAACTGAAGTAGTACAGTGGAACCTCGATAAATGAACCACTATTTCACGAAGTCCTCAGTATAACAAACAATTTTCTTCGCTCCAGTAACATATATGAAAAAGTCCCTAAGAAAGAACCTCATTATAGCAAGCATATTTTGCCAGTCCCTTGGCCCCTTGTTATATCGAGGTTCCACTGCACAAGGGAGATTATATCAAGCTCCTTATTGAAAAAATCGGTTGCTCTACGAGACGAGCTAAATACATCAAATTTTATTAGAGCCCCTGGGTACAAGTCAATAACAATAAATTTTGCTCATTTACCATTAGCATTAGATTCAGCACACATGAACTTTGACGTTTTAACTGGTTCATACTTTACAGGCAGAGGGCAAAACCAAGAATAAAAGAAATAGTCCTTTATCCCGATATGAGCAGGAAAAATTAAAGCGGGTGGAGCAAAACAACCTGATGTTATTGAAACGAAACATAGTAAGCTATTACAATAATTATTAACTGTAAATGAACCATTACATACCTGTTCCTATTCTCGTTTTTCTCAGTCTGTAGTGTTATTTACAGACCAAGTTTTTTCCTGTTGATTTATTGCCCAAGGGCGTGAGCCATAAATCAATAGGAAAAAACGAGAAATCGTAACTTACAGTACGGACTACGAAAAACAAGGTCCGTAAGGTATTATTATGTCTCTGAATTTTATAGGGCGCGTGGGAAGGAAGCTTTAAGATATTAGTGGGCCCTATTCTTTTGTACTGAGAGTTTAAATAATGAATTTCATATAATTTAGAACTGCAAGGGAAAGAATAGCCTGGGACCAGGCTCCTTGGTAGGGAAAAAAAGGCAAAAAACGGGGTGAAAAGGAGTGCAAAAACAATTGGCAAACAAACGAAGTGAGCCAAGCGGGGGACTAGGGAAAGGGAAAGGACGCCATCTCTTTCCCTCCCAAGTCACCCGCTCGGCTCGCTTGGCTCGCTGATTTTTTTTTGCCCTTTCCATCCTGTTTTTTGCTTTTTATCCCACCAAGGAGCCTGGTCCTAGGCTAGGGGAAGAATTAAACAGAAAGGAGATAGAAGCAACTTATGCAGCGGCAAAAAAAAATCCTGAAAAACAATTCAGGCTTATACAGGATTTAAATATTTTACCTATGCAATTAGAGTGCTGTACCAGTATCAGTCAATGGTTCAAATCCTGTACAAGCCAGAATTATTTCAGGCTTTCTTTTGTTTCATCTGTACCTGAAAAGATCTTCTTTGCATTTAAAATAATATTAATCTCAACATAATAATCTTTATTTGTGGGTAATATGCAATGTTGCCAGCTCAAAGAGTTTTGGCAGGAAACAGATGTATTATTACTGCCATAAAACCTCAAAATAACAATGAATTGTGCTCTGTTGAGGACAGCAGTCCAGCTATACAACAATGATACTTATACCATGGATATATGTACATTACATTCTGACATGCATGCCTTCTTTTGCTTTCTTTCAGATTTCTCATACCTTTGCGTCAATAACCGCCTTGTTTTTCCTTAATGCGAAAAAGCTTAGTGATGTCACTGTCATGAGTGTTAAAAAGGCCCTTACACAATTGGGTGTGACTGTCCCCAAAGGACAGTCATATGGCAAAGAATCATTAGTGATACTACTAGGTAAAGAACTTTTTGGCAAGGGTAAAGTCAGGAGAAAGGATGAAACCAAAGTCATTTCCAAAGATAACCTAGTACTTGTTGAGTAATCGATTTTTTAGGAAGTAATAAATTATAGTTATATTTTGTTCGTGATTTTTTCAAAGAATTAAGTTGACTTTTAGGAGGAAACATGAAAAAGAATTGAGGACTCACTGTATGTATATGTAGAGTGTATGTAGATGTATGTATATGTAGAGTGATTGTACTAAACCCGTGAAACAGTATCAAACAAAAAGTGCCAAATGAGTATAGTGAACAGAAGAATTTAATGGAATTATAGTTTTGCAGCGTGTAGTAATCTGTCTATTTCACGGGTTATGTAAAATCGCTCTAAAGGATTGCAAAATATTTATAAACATATTAAATATATCAAAATTATTACAATCAGATTCTATGAGCATATTAGTGGAGTAGGTTTATTACATGTGACTATTTGATAATTACTTATTTATTAAATGATGGTTTATTTTAAATCTGCTATATGGTACGATTCTCATGAAAGAACAAAGTTTTATTATTGGAGTACTGGTAATCAAATTGATGTATTTTTCATACCTTTTAAAGAATTATTTATCCTAGATTAAATTATAGTGATTAAGAGAAACATTATTTATTTCAGTTTGTTATAGTTTTGACTGTTTTCTAGCTTGTGCCAAACTGTTTTTACAGTCTTAATGAAAAAAAACCGCAATAACTATTATTCGCTGTTACTAAACTTAACTATAACTTACGCTTTATCACGCAGCTGTAGCAACAGTTGAGATTCTATTGAAAGGACATGTAATATACACATTATTTTTACATGGATTTATATTTGCAATAAAATTATATACATTTACTGATTTCATATGAACTCCTTTTTGAAATTTTGTCTGCTTTATTTGTGGTCATTTTACTAACATTTTATGCAAAGTTTTATTTACTTTTTACAGAGATTTTATTAATATTTTACACTGTCCATTGTTGACGCGTCCCATTTTACGTGCTTTATTTACAGAGAAAACATTAACATTTTGCTCAGATTTTGTGCAATAAAACATGCACATTTTACAAACATTTCATGTACTTTACCTTAAGATTTTGTGTAGTTCTTTTGGTATACATTTTACAGACATTTCATGCACTTTTTTTTCGCTCACTTTTTACAGAGATAACATGGAGATTTTATGTTTACGGGTTTACAGAGATTTTTTCTCCTGTAATTTTTACCGAGAAAGTAAAGAGATTTAACAGACATGTACATTTGTTGTTTTTAGCGTAAAATCTCTGTAAATTTTAAAACTAATTTACAGATATTTTAGTAAGATTATATACACATTTCATGCAATCATAGTGAAAAAAATGTGTTAAAATTTACAGACTTCTTACGGAGTTACAAAATCTCTGTGAATGTGCACATTTACAGAGTTCGTAATTTACAAAGGAAATCTAGACATTTTATAGAGATTTCACCAAATTTTGTGAAGTCTGTAAACGGTTCAAGTTTTCCAGTGAGTGCTTTCTGGTCTGAAATCGAGTGGAACGCTTTTAGGGACATTGCCTAAAATGCTGACGTAACCACTCAAACTATTCGGTAATCGAACTCAATCGAACCGGGCAGTATAAAACACGCACTGCAGACTGCGGACCACGGACTGTGGACTGTTTACAAAACACGGACTAGGTATAAAATGAAGACTAGAAATTACGGACTGAGTATAAAACAAGGACTACGGACTGTGTCTATAAAAACAGCTTTTAAGTTCGCCAATAGTTGCAGTTGAAGTAGGTGAAGCAACAACTGAAAAGGTCCGTCACCGGCGGGGAGAATAAAAGAAAACAGAGCCCTGTAACATCTCGTCTATTTGCTTATCAAGTGTCCCCCCCCCCCCTTCACGCTCTCAAAATTTGCAAAGACGTCTTTTTTTAATTTCAAAGTAGGTGACAGTGCACCCTTTAGTCAAAAAACTTACCATAAAGACATGACCCTGCTGTCAAGGAGAAGTCGTCAATTGCTATGTCACCAGTTAAACTGCTTCCCACTTCGCCCTCAAATGTTACCTGTCAAAAGTTGCAATCAGTCCGGAAGAGTCGCTGTTGTCATTAATGTCTTCAAATTAATGAAAAATTATCTTCGAATTTGTCAAAAAAACTACAAACTTAACAATAGAAATAAGGAAATGTCGGCTAATAGCAAAACAGATCCTCTTGGAAACACCAAGCGCATCATATTTTGCACTACAGTTACGGACTTACTTGCACCACTATGAGTAAGAAAGAATAATCTTGCTATGACTAAATAATGTTACCAAATGGTACATCACTTAAATTTCATGTGTGCTTAATTTATAATTAATGGTAAAGATGAAGTATTATAACGGATGCAGTCTTCTCGACTTTTTCAGTTTTTCATTACAGACCGAAGTACAGAAACTTATGGCTAAAGTAAGATTCGGAGAACATAGACCCGAGAACCGAAAGAGTCTTCTGGATGGTAGACCTAGCCTGCGCACCCTTCAGACCAGAAAAATCTTGTTATCGAAGGCGCTTTCAGTAAAACTGAAATTACTACCACTTATGGATCACCGATAGCAATCTACGTAGTTTATATAAATTTAACTAAATAACAGCAAATGATGGCCAGGATTTGTGAAAACTATCAGTTGTAAACAGTTGTAACATGCTTTCAACGGTGAGCACAAGTTCGGAACCCTTTATTAAAAAATTCCCGGACCCGCAGCTGTATTATCATGGCAATTAAGTTAACAAAAAAAGTGAGCTATTGGTGACTTATGGCTCCCAACCCGGTTGGCTTCCCCAACTACCTCTAGCAGAGAACAGCGTTTTACCACTCCACCATTGATAGGGTCATTTAAGTTTAAATTCTTATTTTACTTTCAACATTTTCATCATCCTAATTTATTGTTAAGCAATGAGTTGATAAAAATAAAGATTCGGTTGTTGTTATTGTTGTTGTTAGAAGAGACACAAAAATAAAGCATGGCTTACCATATGCAATCCCTCGATAGCTGATACGTTTACGCGGGCTTTACGCCACATGTCTCCTTTATCACCACGTGCAAAGAACACTAAGTTCCCACTTACGGTGACTTTCAGGCTTCCAGTAGTTGCACCAGACATATAATAATCGAACTGAAGGCACATATTCCCAAAAAATTCCAGTTGAGGACTGTACAATTTTGCGTTATCACCTGGTCGTCTTGGATTGGATGCTTCTATAAACATGTAATAACCTTATAGGGATGAAGATGGTCAGAGAGTAGCAACTTAGTCTTTTTCGGTCGAGGACGGTCCAATTTTGTCATATCATCCAGCTCTCCTGTGGACTAAATATTTCTAAAAAATGCACATGTAATAATAACCTTCAAGGAGGAAAAGATGTAAGGAAGGCAACGAGAAAAAAATTGACCATGCACAAGGCACTGAAAAAGTATCCAGTTGACTTAAAACAGTATTCTAACAACGTTAGTTCAGCTTAAATGACGTAGAATGATCATCTGAAGTACCTATTAGTAAGTTCCTAAGTTTCCTTTTATTCGTTTTATTTTTTTCTTTGAAGGCAGACGTATTATTCATGGTAGAATAAGAGGGCAAATGACAACAAAGCTCAGGATGTAAAGAGTAACTGCAACCTTGTAGTTGCACGGATTCGAAGAGGCAGTCGAAATTAGATACCCACGCCTACATTTAATACACCTGTGCAACGTACAAGCAACAAAAGATGAAACAAAAACGAGCAGTTTAATCTAAGAAAACAACAGCAACAATAACAAAAAAAGGGTAGAAAAGAGTGACATGTAATTAAATTTGCAAGACTAAAACTAGCGATGATTTCATGCTAAAAATGAAGTAGAAATTCCGACCAACTGACTGTTAAATTTGTTATACGTTATTACAGTTCTCGTTGCTAATAGTAGGACTGGCTAGATGTACTGATGAATTAGTTAAGAGCTCACCGGTCAAGTTTCCAGTGGTGTGATTAAAGGAAGGTCCTGTAAGGTCAGAAGGTGTGCTTTCCTTGCGTCGAGTCCAGTCAAACTCGTCATCATTGCCTTGCACGAAACCGCACATTGAAACATCAAAGTTGCATATTGTTTCAAAGTTGCCTATTTTTTGTAAGTTAAACAAAACAAATAAATTCTCATATCAAAAATTTAGTCTTTTTTTTTCCTGGGGTCAACGATCGTCTCCTAGGCATGATACGATCCTAGAAAGTACAATTACACAGGCTGACCACGAGTTAGTTAAGAGCGGTGAGGCTTAACCTTAATTAACACCTAAGCGTAAACGCAGGCGTAATAAGGGAACATGCTCTCCAAGTAATATTGGAATTCAGGTCTTCTAAATTAACTAGAAATGCATCCAAGAATGGCTCGGCTGCTATATTTACCAGGAAAAGGCGCATCGTTTCCAAAATATTTGGGTTGAAGGGCTTCATAGCCCGTTGCTTATTTAATAAGTGCGAGATTTATTTATTTATTTCTTGCTTCCTGCGACTGAGGGGGCCTTCGGAGGCCCCCCTCTATAATTTTAAATCCGTTCATGATAAGGCCATTAAAATAATTTTAAAAAATTAAAATATTATTGATTCGCTACAAAATTTTCACCAGTGATTGACTATGAAATAAAGTTTGTCAAAATGCAGTTTTAAGTGAAATCGATATCACTATGACAACAATAAACAAAATACTTCAAAATCGATAAAATTTGAATAACAACAGGAAACGTTTGTTGCGGGGTTTTCTTTGTTGACTGAGGCACCCTCGGTCGAGGGAAATTTGACCTCGGAGTCAACGCCCCTTGTCCAGGTGCCGTTTTTCACAGAGTGTGGAGAAAGAAGGTATTTTGGACCCAGTGGCTCCAGGAAATGTTCATTTCCAGCAACATGCGTGGAGATATTTCGCTTTGAAACGTTTACTGCGGTGCAGCGATGATAGAAGTTTTCCTCTGGTCGAAAAAATCTGCGACCGGATCCCCGGCTGTTTTTCTGTGCTGCCTTTACTTAGTATTATGAAGAGAGTGACAGGGTTCAAACAATAACAGCCAAGAAAACCGACTAAATCGATGAATTCATACCAGAAAACACAGGAATACATCAGAGGTAATCTCCTTTATTTATTTTACAGAGAAATAAGTAAGAATAATGATATTTAGCATTCGCAGACCTCAGTATTTTCTTTCTCATACAAAGTCTCAACGGGTGCTGGTAACGCGACGTCTGTGTTGATAGTCGTTAATTTAACGTTACAATAATATATGCGATACTCAGAAATTTTTAAGTCACTGTTATCACACAGTGACTTAAGTGGGCTTAGGCCACATGGTTTATAAGAACATCAATCATGATCGTCGAGGCATAAAAAAATAAAAATGTTGTCAAATCAACTAGTTTCCACTAAGAATTTTTGGAAGCGGTCAGTATAAAACGAGGACCACGGACTGCGGACTGGGTATAAAACACAAACTAGATATAAAATGCGGACTACGGACTGTGTATATAAAAAGAGCTTTAGAAAGGTAAAACTGAGAGAAACAGACAGTGGACTAGATTAGAACAGTAGTCCCAGCTCCTTGCTTCACACACAATCATGATTTCTTTGGCTGGTCACGCAGTCTATTCTCCCCAAAGCCGGCGTGGAGAAGGAAAGCATATACGGATGAGCAAGGAAGGTTATGCCGCTGCTCAAAACAACTGAAAATGAAATTCTGAATTTTATAAAGAGGAGAAGTTAAAAGACAATTCAATTTATAGTTCTTTAAACCATGCGCAATACATAATTACACGTGCGAATTATTTTGAATTACAAATAGTAAACTTGTGACGATAGGTTTTGCCCTTCCAAGCACAAATCGGGGAAATATGCGTAAAGAGAGTCCGAACGACTTCTAGGATCTACTACAACTGGAAAGCAGGACAGCACTAAAACTTGGACTTCAACAGTTTAATCTTCAGCTCGTGGACGTAAATCATACAGGCATGTGCATCCAAAATGTAAATTGTAAATCCGCAATGTAAATCGAAAAACAGGGATAACAGTGCTCTATTTATACTAACCGATCAACTTATTACAACATCACAAAACAAATGGAAAGAAGGCTGAATAAAATCAGCTGAAAACTGAAAACAAATCTGGATAAATTCAGCTTTAAAATTTATATGCCAAACTAAATGACTCAAAATTAATTGTCAGTCAAGCAAGTGAATTTAGAAAATTTTCAAAGAAAGCTGTGTAGGAAGTTGAGTTTCCCTTGCTCAGAATTCCTTAAAATTTCAAAGTTAAAAACTACAAACGGTTGGTATTTGAACAGGAGAAAAGTTCTGGTAGTTGTTACGTGACTAAGCTGAATAATTATTCAGAAACTAGTTATCTTTTTACTGAAAGTCAACATATCAATGAAAATTCAATGCAAATTACGGTTAGAACAACTTAAAACGGAACATTTAAAAGCTAGATATGAAATTCGAGACAAATAAAGAATACATGGGAAATCTCTCCTCACAAACTGTTGAATCAGCGTACGCACCGTGGTATCGCTGGCTTCTGATTTAACAGCTGTCTTTAAAGCGACTGTTGGTTTGCTTTAAAAAAAAGCCGCGATGCTACTGCCGAAAAGCTAAACCAAGGAGATATTACAAATCAAAAACTGCGTGACGTGATTGTTCGAGAAAGTTTTAAACCAATGGGAAATATGAAATTTAGAGGCACCAAACAAAACAAATAGTATTGGTGTTAGTGAGAGTGAGAATTCTTAAAGATGCCACAATTCCATGTCGAAGCTTTGGCGATATGAGGAAATGAAGAACCCAGACGCGAAGGTCAATATAGGGGCAGTCGAAGCAAAAACGCTGTATTTATTGGGGAGGGGTGTACTCACCTATACATGAAGAATAACCGAAATTAAATCTATCATCCAACGTTATATATTCCGAGCTATGATGACATTATTTACATGTTAACATGTACATCGCGTTTGTGACCCCTGTCATGGATGTTAGAGACCGATACCAGGTCTAAATGGGGGTAGAAAATAGCATTTTGGTCAGGCCCAGATTTGGAGAACCGGGCGGCACACATCCACCAAGAATTTCTAAGAGTATATAACTTTAACTCACGAGTTGTGCTACTAAGCGATCTTTTGATCTTATTTTACCTTAACCTATAACCAATTAGCACAGTTTTTACCAACGTTGTCCGTAGTCCGCATTTTATACCTAGTCCGTGTTTTATACCCGGTCCACAGTCCGCAGTCCATGTTTTATACTGACCGTTACTGTAAGTGTGAAAACAGACACCTCGGTGATGTAACCTAGTGAAAAGTGTTACATGAGAAGACACACAGGGCTTGCACTGTAACTATCCCGGAAAGCTCAATACATTTATTATAAGGAATTTTATGGAGCTCTCACAGGGAACCCGAACGCTGAATTAGCTAATAGAATAATTAGATTTATTAAGAACTGAATCATTTGATAATGCCATTCTAGCGTTTTGATTGGCTTAGCCATTATGGTATATGAGCCATTATACTATGCTCTCCATATATGGTCGGTGTACGCGTCAGTTTAAAATTGGAAGCTAGCTGAGATTTTTTTTCGCGAAGGATAGAATGGCGCCCGAAGCAAATCGTTTTAATTTATTTGTTAGAATACTAGACAATGCAATTTCATCGGGAAAAAACAAACAAACAAACAAACAAAACAGCCACAGCAGCTTGTTTGAAAGTTGATCGAAAAACACATGAAAATACATGAAACTAAAGTACCTTGACCAGCTACGAAAAAAGACAAGTGTTGTTTCTTAATGATCGCGAAGCCACTCGCCGAGTCACTCGCCGATAGATAACTGCGGCTTGTTTATTTGACATGAAGAATATAAATCACAACTAACCAGCTACAAATACAGGTTATGCAGCCATTCACTACAGCAATCGAGGCGTCAGTATAGCTTCTTTTCTGGTTCAGCAAAACCAGCTGGTGGCTTGAAACAACTTCATAACAAGCGACCTTCTGCCAGGTTTTTTTAGCTGTCCTGCTGTGTAAAATCCTAGAATCCCGATGAGTTTTTTAAAGTGTTCATCGCTACAATCTTTTGATTTTTCATTCATCCAGTCCAGACGAGTCCGTTCGCACGTTGACAGTTGTGATAGACATGTGACATGTGAATAGCGGAAGTCCCTTGTCTTTTCCGGTTTGTTCTAACAAAATTAAGTCGGGCAGATTCAAC